CCACAAATACATTTTGCGTTTAACCTTTCACTGATCAATAAACTTTAGGTTCTGCATGTCTAGGAATGCCCAAATAACCAATTTGTACACACTTAATAAGAACAGTTACCTGTGAACCAGAACCAATGATTGGATCACTTCCCCTCAAGCCATCTACAAGCTCAGTATATAATTGTTCCTTAGGGGTTGCTGCAGGTGCACCATAATATGAGAATTCCACAACATCTACATCACACCACACGCCTCCAGGCCCCTGACTCAATATTAAAAAAAACATTTTAATTTTCAAAACAAAAGATAAGTCAATTAAGAAAGGTTAGTCATAAATTTGAAAATTTTTCTTGCTTAGATCCAATATGCTTGTTTAGAAACTTCTAAAACTTTGAACATCTCATAATTGACTTGTTTAAAAGAGTCAAATCTGGCATGAAATAGAAAACTTCTCAAGGATATTGTAGCATCATAGTAGCAGCTATGGATGATTTCAAAACCAACAAATTTAATGTCAGGTTAGAACAAGAACAGCCTTCCCCTCCAATCCCCGTCCCAAAAAAACTGGGAAACACCAAACAAGTAAAAATTAAGAACGAAAGAATCCATGGAGGTTTAGTAAAAGCAGTGAAGCCAAACGCATTAAACTTGCTCACCTCAAGAGCAGCAGGTAGACATTGAAACTGGCTAAGCCATTGCCTATGAACTTTTCGAGCGACAAAGACAAGAATAGCTGGTATTTTTGTCAAAACACCCCGTCGAATACGGAATCCAATTGCTGTACCAAGACTAAACCTACGCAGTTTTTTACTATGGAATGCCCTAATGGTCATCAACTCAAGTATCGTGGTTGCTTGCTGCCCAGATGGCAACCGGCCAAGAGTTTCTGGCAACACCCCTTTCTGTAAGTTTCCAAAATAGTTTGCCCTATCTTCTGCTGCATCAATTAATCGACTTGAAGTAGGCCATGAGAAGTAGGCAGCATTGCTCTCAGAATGCTGAGCACCAGATGCAAAGGGTTGAAGAGTTGAAGGACTTGATGAAGGCATATTAAGATGATTGCAGCAATTTCTTTCCAAGTCTAGAGCAGACTCCTCTGATTCTATTGATCCAGAGTGATGAAATCTTAAATCCAATCTGTTCCTCTCCATCTTTCAGCTCTCCTAACAATAATAATTCAATTTGTCTCACAACTCAACTTATATTTTAGTGATATAAAGCAAACCAAAGTAGAAGTCTGATCATTATCCTAGACAATACTCACTCATGATTACATTCAATACTATATAATGCCAAAAGAAGAAAAGGTTGAAAATCATTAAAATAGATAAACAAGTATAAGTGATACATACTAACTCTGTTAATTCCATAAAGGCTGATAAAATACGAGTGTAGCTAAATGGAAAACCAGAGTAACTGCAAATAGGAAAAGATCAAATCAAAAAAAGAGTTTCAAGAGCTGTGCACTCAATCCTCTTACATTGAGAGAATAGTAATACAATACAAAAAACATGCATAGAACAGGTGACTATGAAATACATCAATAATCCACCCAAAAAAACATAAGTAGTGAGCAAAACAGGACATCATTATATTCAATGTCCAATGACCCTAGAGGAAAGAAAATTCTTCCTAGGGTACATTCACGAGTGAAAGCCATCCCAGATAAAACAATGATAGCATCCTCTCCAAGCTGAAAGAGGCATATAAGAGTGAAAGAAAATAGGACAAATAGGATGATAGCTTAGATAGCTGTGGACAGAGATAAACAACAACCAAATTAGATACCCTTCTATTGGAGGAGGCGAAAAAAGAAAGTGCTACAGAAACTGAAACATTTGAATATGGGTATTTTAGGAGTTGAGTAATAATGGACTAATCAAACCACGAAAGCAAAAAAAGCACCAATTCTGCATATTAAATCCCCCAATATATATATATATATATAAAGAAGCTCAAAAGAAAAGATAAAATATTCGGACTAAATTTAGGAGCAAACCCAGATAAAGATATGACCTTTATGAGAATCTTTAGCATATATTAAGCTAAAACTTACCTCTAAACAATGGTGGTGCTGGGATGGAGGACTCAAATAAAAGATAAAATATTCGGACTACAATTTAGGAGCAAACCCAGATAAAAACATGACCTTTATGAGAATCTTGAGCATATATTAAGCTAAAACTTACCTATAAACAATGGTGGAGCTGGGATGGAGGACTCAAAGTCAAGCCTTTTAAAGATTTTCATGCCCTAGTGGTTATTGCACATAACCTTTTAATCAACAAAAAGAACTTGAAAACTGTCACTTTGTTATTCTATTTGTATCTCTGTGCAAGAAAAAAGAGGCTCTAAATTTAGAAAGATTGAAGCTTTTTGAGGAAAAAGAAAGAGAGATGACTCCAGTTTAGAGAGAGAGTGAGAGAGAGAGAGAGAAAAGGCCACTAATATCCACCACCGGGTGCTGCTCTATTGTATTATAGAAGAACTAGCTTTTTTTTCCTTTGCAAACAAAACAACTTTTTTAATAATGGGTCTTTAAAAAAAAAACTTGAAGAAAAAAAAAAAAGAGTAGCTCTTTTTTCTTGCTTTCTTGTATGCAGTCTTTAATCTCCCCTTTTGCTTTTCTTTTTGGTTGAATGGCATATGCTGGTGGAAAAAAGAGTGCAAGCATGACAAGAGAAAAATATAATGGAGCAAGAAATGGGCAAAGGGTAAAATAATTTTTCCTAGACATTGATATTTAGTCTGGTGGGGAATATCAGGGGCCCATCCATATTTGCTCCCCAAAAGTAGCACACTCTTCTCTCAAATAATTCAAAAATCCCATCTATTGATTGAGGTGGGGTTAGGGTTTTGATTTCTTTTTGTTTTTGCAAGAATTTTAGTACCAGTGTTTATATCTCCACTGTTAATTTTTAAACCCCAAGTAGAATTCTTATCTTGATTCAATTTTTTTCCTTTGTTGTTGATAGAGATACTTGAAAGATTTTTGAGGCTATCATTTAAAGGTGGTTCACTATCAGATAACATAAGATAGAAATTGATGTGGGGCACAGGGGGGGACTAATTTGGGGGTAGAAGCCCTCAATATCCCTTTATATATCATTACCACTTTTACTTTCCTCCTTTTAATGGGTTTTATCTAAACAGTGAAATTTCCATTTCTCTCTCAACCTTTTCTTGTCTTCCCCTCCCCACTCTCTCTTTCTCATGTATGATGTGCTATTTTCCATCATTTTTCCCTTCCATAGCCTATCTAATAGAGTTCTTTGCTAAAGAGAATTGCCTTTCTAATAAATCAAATCTCTCTTTCTCCTCTCCTCTCCTCCCCCATTCCCTCCACTTGCCACATTTTATCTCTCACTATCTTCTCCTTCACATTTCAATCATCAATTATATATCGCAGACCCCCACTCTAGTCTCTAATTATGGAATGGAACTGTGTTAAAACAATAAAAAAAACACATGCACTACCCAGGAATTGTACCGTCAATTTTATATCAAATCTATCACTTTTAACATGCCAAAACATCCATGATTTAGATCATACTTTGTTTTAAAATTAAAGTGCTTCTATCAATTAGTCAATTCAATTTGATTCATACATTAAATAGTCAAACCTATCTTCTTCTTATGATTACCACTCATTGATTATAAATGTGACAATTCAAGGAAACAGGGAGTTAGGCCCCAGTACACAGTACTTTCCTTTTAATTTGAGTGCCAGAAGATTGAGCCTTTTAATAAATGGATTCTCACACCTAGCCACACCCCAATGTACCAACCCTTGTTAGATGACAGCATATGCCCTGTTCGTTGGAAAAAATAAATGACCTGTTTTTTATGTGTAATAGCACCAAATTGGGCTATATAGCTGGGAAAACAAACTTCCATGGAAAATACTAAATCAATGTTCATACTTGATAGCTTTGTTATGATTACTTTCATCACTGAGTGACAAGTTGTGTGTGTGAGAGTGATAAGAAAGATATGGAAATGGAGGGTGGAGAGAATAGAAAAGTCTCTGTAAAGGGTCCATGGTGGGAATTCAACAATGCAATTATTAATCAATGTACCCAAAAAAAGATGGGTTCCACCACAATCAAGCCCTTTAAAGAAGGATGGCTGATTTTATAGCACTCACTCATTGTTGATGTACTAAATCAGTATATTACAAATTAATGCACACACCCCTTTTTTTTTTTTTTGCCATCTTCTTTTGACCTTCTTTGGCATTATGTAAGAGAGCTGTAATGCTTCATAAATAATGCAATCAGAGCAGCTGAGGGGGTGAAAAAGAATTAAATCAGAGATTCTGTCACAGTTTTGTGCTTGGTGAAGATAGTTTTTGTTTACTTGGTTGAAACTTTAATGACTATTGAAATTCTGATTACTGGAAAACTTACAGCATATCTGTATGCCAAGGGTACTTCTACCCATAATAATATAATTATGTGCATAATCCAAGATATGATTTATTGTTCTCACTCTGTTATCCCTTCTCCCTCTCTTTCTCTCTTCCATACCATCTCTTATTGACTTAAACATCCAAAACCTCTAGTGTCTCACTTATAGGTGTACATGTTTCTAAACAACAAAACTATAGATATAAATTTCAAAATAGACAATGTCATATAATCGATCATAATCTAATAATCCTTGATAATCTTATCATAAGTTACCACGAAGTCTATTATCTAAAATTGAAAAACAGTTGATCATAATATGATTAACGTAAGTTTTCATTTAGATAATTTTGTTTTTCTTTTTATGTACCACTTTTAGCCATTGAAAGGTTGTTGGTGAATAATAAATTGAGCAGTTGATTTTCCCGCATGATTAGAATTTAATGAATAATTTGATCCCTCAAAAAAAAAAATACTATTACGATCTAACAAATTAAAATTAATATGAACATTTTTTGCCAATAATAATTTTTTTTCTAATTTTTAATTTTTCCAAAGCTTACTTTATTTTATAAAAAAAAATCCTTTCACTAGCTAATGACGTGGCACACACCGTTTATCTATCAGTACATTATTAATGACTGGCCAAAATCTTCTGGTTCTTTTTATTTTTTTAATCTAATGTGGATCTTTGTGAACGAAGCGCGGCACTGTTATCAAATATGGGAGGAGCAGGCGGTGACTCAACAGGGTGCAAGAGGCTCCAGAAGGCTCTATGCGAGTGCCACCAACGTTTCGGACCGGGTGCGACGCGGGACGCTGCCTGCCGGCACTTGAACCGAGCCTTAGCGGAGTGCTTGGTCTCCGTGCTGTGCCCCGCAGAGTCGGAGGCGGTTAGGACATTGTGCGCCAGCGGGGGGACCCGCCTGAAGCGGTCCCAGTGCCAAGAGGCTCGGCTGTCTCTCTCCGTCTGCATCTCATCTCATCAACAAGATTGATTCTTTCTCGATTCGGTCGTCTTCGCATATCGAATTTACCTTTTTGCCTTCAATTGAATGTTATTCAAGTAATTTTCCTGTGTTGTAATAGTACTTCCGAGGCAGAGGCCAAATATAATGTACAAAGAGAAAGAAAGAAATAATACGTATGCAGAATTTCTTGTGGATTTTGTTGTCACTATGATAATAATAGACAAATCTGGTATTTGTCTCTTACCCGACAAGTGGACGGTTCTCTTATTTACAAATTAATAAATATTTATAGATATTTATTTATTTATTTTGAGTAGTCCCACAGTTTGTCACATACTCCGGATATATTGAAGCACAACAGTGCCATTCTTATATTTGGTTAGTGAGATAGCTGTGTTGTCTGGCAATTAGATTACATGGATGTAATATGTGATATAACTCTTTCTTTTCTCTCCTCATAAGCCTTACATCCCCAGTGAAAACGTGAGATTCCATATCTTGTACAACCACCAAATACTAACACCACCATTTTTGGGCAGCTAAGCCTTTAATTGCTGGTACCATGTTGTTGTTTCTTTCTAGACAAAGGTGGGAGGAGGAAGTGGACTTGCATGGCTGTGCATACTTCTAAATCAGCAGGTCATCAATGGGGGAGGAGCAAGCTGTTGACAGGGGTTGCCATGCCAGCTTCTGGAAATCTGCCTTCTAAGTTCTAATAAACCTTCATTCTCTTGGGTTTTCTTTTAGCTAAATATACTTGTTTTTATGTTCTCGAATATTTCCAGGGAAATGACTGATGGGTTATGGTCTTTGCTTCTGCATTTCAACCATTTTGATTCACTCCAGGAAACAGCTAGACCTTGCTGTTTAATCAAGTTTTTAGCCTGCAAGGGGATACTACAGGGTTTTAACTTTGAAGACCAAGCAAGTCCCGGACCAAGCTTGAATAGTAAAACAAAATCCTATATAAATGAAAAGATCAAACTGCCACTGCTCCTCCCAAAGAGAAGGGAAAAACCCACCATGCTGTTGTTGTTTCCGCTGTTTCTGCTGGATGATAAAAAACACATCTAGTGCTAAACAAAAGTTTCGCCTAAAACATTGATCTCAAAGTTCAGTTCATCTAACCTCAACTACTTATCCCACATTGAAATCCAGTGTTATAGTAGCATATTAACAGATAACTTCAACTGTCCCAGCCGTTCAACCAAAGAAAACAAAGTTCCATAACTGAGAATGAATATTTCGTTATTTTTTATCACAAATGATAACAAGGCCTGAAAAGATGAGGAGAAGACAGTTTATTACTAAAGAAAAAACTTCTTTACGTGCACTGGAAACATCAGAGGTACATGACATAATATGCTTGTAGTGTATTTGTAGAGACAGACATTATTCTGATACAACAAAGAGCATAATGAAGTGACCAACATTAAAACTTTGTTACTCTTCTTTTCTTTTCTTTTTTTTCTCCTTCCATTGTGTTAGAAAACGTACTCCTATGTTGTAAAAACCTTTATCTAAGAGAGTAGATACCTCCTTTTTTGAGAATTAACTCATCTTCACAGATGTGAGGAGAGAAGTTGTCTATACGAACAACGAGCATCACAGCATCACCCACCAAAATACAGAACAGCTTACAGTCTGGGATAGATACAGTCTGGGATACATAGAGTCTATGCATAAAATCTTGCTCGGTCATGTGGAGAAGAATAATCAAAATTTGGGCCAAGAGGAATTATCCCAAAAGGATTTATAGAAGGCTGGCTTCCATAGTAATGCTTCTTGATGTGTTGCACATTCACTGTACTGCTCATGCCAGGAATTTGGTAAATGTCTTTGGTATAGTTGAACAAATTTGGGTACTCCCGCAGAAGCTTCTTGTTGCACTTGAAATGAACTGCATAGACCTGTAAGAACAACAAACTCATTGTCAAAATGCATCTTAAGATTTTTCCTTCTTTTTTCTGAAAAGAAAAATGGAACCTTTTCCTTTGCCTCACAATAATATTCCTATTTGAGAAAAATGTGAAAGATTAAGATGTTCTAAACTAAAAGAGACATATCAAATATTAGAAAGCTGAATGGGCAAATAAAATACCTCATCAAATCTTATGAGGGTAACAAAAAGTCGAACATCAGCCTCAGTCAGAATGTTTCCACAAATGTACCGCTGCTTGGAAAGAATCTCCTCACATTTGTCCAAAGCTTCATATAATTGTTTCACAGCCTGATGGTCCAATGAATATACTTAAGAAAAGAATTTATAAAAGACGAGCTCTTTCAAGGATGTAAAGACTAAGAAGTCCTACATTAAATAGAAGAAAAATTACCACACAAAAAGTACCTCATCATAAGGCCCTTGCTTTCTTGCAAACCCACATTTGTAAACACCATTATTTATTCCACTGTATATCCATTCATTTGTCTCATCAATTTGAGCTCTCAAATGAGGAGGATATAGGTCCAAAGCAGGATTCTCTGCTATATCATTGAATTCAGTATTAAGCATGCGGATTATCTCTGCACTCTCATTACTAACAATAGTCTTGAATTTCTTGTCCCATAGGACCTATAAAAAACATAAAGCACCAAATGAACTAAAAGACTTAAACTTTGAAAAGAAACAATAAAACAGAGCAACAGAGAGCTAGAAAGTGCTTTTAATTTTTGAACTTACAGGAACTGTGTACTTCCCAGTATAGTTTGTACTTGCAAGCTCATATAGTTCCCTTATACTCTTTGCTTCATTAAAAGGGTCAGGTTCAGCACCTGGCTCTTCTGTATTAGAGGTGGGAAAAACCCATCCCATATGCTCATCAGTTTCCTTTGTTCTCTCCCATATAGTTTTGACTGACTGTTCAGCAATTGAAGGAAAAAGATAGTTAGCTTATCGACAGATTGAGTCGAACTACAATAGCTTAAAAGTCATAACATGATTTACCAACCGTGAAACTGATGGCTTTGTCAAGCCCTTTGATCTTCAAGAATGCAAGGCACCTGGAAGCCCAAGGGCAAGCATAAGATACATACAGATGATACCTTCCTGACTCAGGAGGAAACTGAGAATTTGGGTCACGAGAGATGATATTACGAAATGTTGAAGCAGTTCTCATAAAAGCCCCAGAATCTGACATTTCATCCAGTGCAGATCGAGCCATTTGAAAAGTGCGCTGAAAAATGCATCACTTCAGAAATTATTATAACTTCTCAAAGCCCAACAAATCATGCCATCTTTAAGATTCAATTAATAGGCTAGAAAACTTCTCAACCCTAAAACATACAGTGTGGTCTTTTCTTTTCTTTTTCCCCCATAAAATTTATATCTCTTCCATTTGAGTTCTTCCTGTCCTGGATTTTATTTTTCTTTCCTTTTTCTTTTCAGATTTTGTAGATTGTTACTTCAATCCGCAAATATAAATTTTCATCAAGGAAACTAGACATAAACTAAAAGAACTCATTCAGCTATTAGCTGGAGATGATAATAAATTATAAAAAAGGTTCATTGCATGTGGCAAATCATACAAGGCAATCAATGGAGACTTCCATATGATGCACAATAAATAACCATTTTATCTTACTAACAGCTAACAGCTAAAACAGATCTTTTCAAGCAATAAAGCATTGAGATCAAGTTCAGCCTAAAACCAGAAATTGTTTTTACTCACACAGACAGGGTTTATACTTAAATAGACAAATATATATATGGTCTCGATTCTTTCAATATACACCAAAAACTAACTAATACTGCTACTCTATACCTCATTAGTCATACAAAAGACATGACTTTCTCAAAAGTGTACAGACATATTATAAGATCCATTATTATGAAGAGAAATCTAAATTGCAATAATAACCCAACAAAGAAGAAACCTTTCTTTCGTGGAAGCAAATGAAATATTCAAGAGTAGCTAAAGGGACTAACAGCAGTGATGCATCTTATAAACCTGAACCCAGAAAAAGAGAGACAAGAGGATCAAATTAAAGCATAGCTCTTACCTTGAAAGCAAAAAATGGGAGAGAGGATGAGTTGTTTACACCAAAAGCTGATGGAGTTTTGCAAAGGAAAGTGAGCATGGCCTATTATAAGGTTTCCTTTTTCTTTTTGTTTTTTTAATTTTAATGTGTGTTTGTGTTCCTATAATACCCTTTTATCTTGGATAAGGCAGATTCAATGCAACAAAGCTGATGAATCTCATGCTTGAAGTATATAATGGCAAGATGTGACAAAAGCAAGGGACACCAAAGGCGTCAGCCATGAGATCAGAAAAAGGAAGCATCTTTGACTAATATATTTTACATGACGCGGCTAAGACAATTATTCAAAAGCAAACAAAGTTCTTGACGAAATCCTGACATCATATCAATTTTGACTTCCATCACAATTGGATTTGGAAGGTTTAAAAAGATAAGGACGGAAAAACTGTTCCCTTCAGGTAGCATGATTTTGGAGGTTAAGAGGTTTAAATACTGAAACATAGGAATTCTAGTAGTATCAAGTATGCATTTCAAGTGGTTAATAAGAGTCAAGTATCAGACAACTAGGTAACTCGTCTGTGTTTTGATTGATTCCTCGTATGTTAACAAAGGTTGCAACCACCGCACCACACCACCCCCCCCCCCCCCCCCTTTTTTTTTCTTTCTTATAACAAAGCCATCTTTCTCTGTCACCCAGGTCCCCATTCCCAGTCCTAAGATCCTATTTAGAACCTCTGCTAAGACTTGAGAGGATAAACACGAGCAAATCAGGCTGCCTTCAACGTGATTTATGCAAACTTCCTTTTCTCTTTTTTATATTTTTGGTATTGAAACGTTAGTTTAAAGATACAACAGTACACTCCTCATTACTCGCAAAAACACCAGCTGACAGTAGAAATGCCAATAGAAGGCTGAAGAATCTTGCAGTGCCGAAGGAAAGGGATCAAAAGATTCAACTTCCTTTAAAAGTCCTCGCAATAGATTCACTTCCCAGGAGAACTTCATGTCTTTCATTCAACCTGCTCTGGCAGCCAGGTTGCTAACCAATTCCTTTAGAGATCCTTTCATTCAGGTCAGAAACAATGGCAAACTTGTCAGTCTCATAACATGCAGTCATGAATGCTGCCAAAGTTACACGATCAACATTGTGATCCTTATCTAATGACCTATGAAAGAATAAAGCTGCTATGCCTACTTTCTTCTCACTACAAAGCTTTCTGATCAAGGTGTTAACTGTCCGCATCCAAAGTTTTTTCTCTAACCTTTCCAACATAACCATGGCAATGGCAGAATCACCTTTCTTGCAATACTCATAAGCTATTGTCAACCGAGTTACTTCGCATGGAGAGAGCCCCTTGTCCATCATAGTCTCGTATAACTGGCATGCCTCCTCCAACCTAGACTCTTTACAAAGTCCACTGATCACAGTTCCATATGTGATGCTATCTGGTACACAACCGTGGTCATTCATCTGGCTGAAAAACTTTAGTCCCAAGCTTACATTTCCAACTCTGCAGTACCCACATATCATGGATGTGTATGTTTCCTTGGTTGGAACCAATCCAAGCCTCAAAGCTTCCTCAAAAAGGTTCTCACTTTCTTTCATTTTCTTTTGCTTACAGAATGAAGCAATCAATGTGTTATATGAATACATATCAGGCTGGAGGCCAACTTTAACCATCTTACAGAAAAATGCCATGGCTCGGTCAGTATCAGCATGCTTGCAATGCTCAGTAATGAGAATGGTATATGTAACTCTATCAGCTTGCAATCCATGTAGAAGGCCATCCCTAAACAGTTCATGGGCTTCTTCAACCCTTCCCTTCTTACAGAGGCCATCAATAATTGCATTGTATGTACATATATTTGGAGCAAAACCTTGTTTATCCATTACATCCATAAATTCATACGCTCGTTCAAAATTTCCCACTTTGCAATGGCCATCAATAAGAGTGGTATATGTGTTGGTGTTAGGAACCAATCCCTGCTCTTTCATTCTGGTCAACAACATCTCCGCCCGATTCAACTTCTCCTCTTTGCAATATCCACTGATCATAGAAGTATATGTATGCACATTCGGCTTGTAATTATCACTCCTAACAAGCTTAAGGAACAACCTAAAAGCTTTCTCAGTCCATCCTTTCCTGCAAAGCCCGTCAATCAAAGCAGTATGTATATACACATTAGGCTTCCACCCTTCCCTAACCATTTCTTCCAATTTTCCAAAGGCTTGCTTTATACTACCCCTCTTACACAACCCATTTATCAAACAGGAGTAGTTAATCAAATTTGGTTTAAACCCCATCTTCACCATCTTATCAAAATACCAGGATGCTCTACTTGCAAAACCCTTTTCACAAAACAAATTAATAACCAATGTGCAAGTAGCATTATCAACAAGGAACCCTCTTCCAAGCATTTCAGTCAACCATTTATCAACCTCTGAAACCGTCCCCATTCTACAATAGCCAACTACCATCAATTTATAACTACTAAAGTCCCCACACACACCTCTCTCAGACATTTCATCAAACACTTTCTCCAAATAGTCAAGCAACCCCATTTCGACACCAACCCCCAAAATACAATTCAAGGTTTCAGCTTTCGGCTTCAAACCATGATTTTGCATCTCAAAAATCATCTCAACAGCCTCCTTCAACCTCCCAACTTCAGCAAAACTCCTCACAAGACACTGCATTACTTCATTGGCTTTGTCAAAGTTGCCATTTTTAATCAAAGAAGTGGCAGTTACAATGTAAAGTCTCATGAAAAGTCTAAACTTCGAAATCTCAAGTACCCAGTAAAAGAAACTTAGAGCAACCATGGAACCAGCTTCATTTGCTAGAGAAGCAACAATGGAAATGGTTTGTTCATGGGTCAAAGAATAAGGATTGATGTTAAGGCTGAGCTTTGGAGATGAAAATCTTAAGTGGGCTTGTTGTTGATAGGATTCATAGACTTGAGAACAGATTGTTTTGATAAAAAACTGGGGTTCTGGTGATGGTGTAGGAGTTTGGGTATCAATAAAATTTGTATCAAAATGGAGATAAGATGGGCTGAGAGTGAAGAGGGGATTGGTCGATAATCTAGGTTTAATTCCATGAAATCTAAGAATCATTGACAAATGCCAAAGAAGGATGCTTATGAAAAAATAAAAAGATAAAGAGTAAACTAGTCTGTAATTTACAATTCAATACAGAAAGCCATCAAACGAGCAAATGTATGACATGAAAATGTAAACCTTGGAAACAAGCATTGTAGAAAGGAAACTAAAAACAAAAATGGCGCTGTGATGACCATTCTATTGGGAAAGTAAATAGTAGCAGCAGGATTATTATATGTGAAATGGGTTGGGCCGTACTTATAAATTCTAATGGATTTCATCAGCAGGTTGGTTCTTGCTTGTCATAATGTGTCAGGTCCAAAGCATCACTCCTGTGTACCACTTCGTTTGTTTGCGAAGCAGCCGAGAGCCTAACCCAATGACTTCAACACCCAAAACTTGAAATCAAAATAATAATAATAATAATAATAATAAAATATTTTTATTTTTTAAAAATTTTGATAAAATTGTATAAAAGTTCATTACTTTTTAAAACAGATATTTTATTTTAAAAAATTATATTTTACTGGATAAATAAATTCAACTATTAATTAATTGTTAGTATTTTTGTGAACTTGTTAACATGACACAGTAAAAAAATAATTTTAACTTTTATTAATTTTTATAATTATTATTATATAATTTTTGTATTAATTTTAAAAAAACTCTCCAATTTTTAAAAAATATAATAATAATTTTTAAATTTAATAAAAAAAGATATTTTAATTTTAAAGATATTTATATTTTTTTAATAAAATATCCATTTTAAAAATTAATGGACTTATTTAAAATTTCACAAGCATCTCTTTCTGCCACATCAGGCACGAAGCCAGCATGGCAGCTTACGGACATGCAAAAGCTAGGGTGGTGAGAGAAGCCAACCACAATGTGTACTTTGTTAATCATAATGCTAATCTTCCCTAAACCTGCCATCTTTATTCTGATTCTGCCCATACTAATTCTGGTGATCCATTTTCACTGTCTTAGTGTCCTAGATTAGCAGAGACAAGCCTATATTGGTTTTGATTTTTTTATTATCTTTTCTGGTATGATTATATCTGAAGGTTTATCAAGTCTTTTCTATGTTCTGTCAACCCTCACTCAAAATTGTAAAATTCTTTATTAACTCTTGACACCAAGATTAAAACAAACAAGTTTGTAGTATTAAGTAACCAAAGCAACCTAACTCTTTTATTTTGCACGTGAACTTTGGAAAATTTCCCTGGTACATTGCACCGATTACAAGTTTTACATACATTACTCATTAACACATCATTGTATAACATAAAATAATCTTAGGATTAATTAACATTATATATATAAACCAGGATCCTTTAAAAGATTTTTCTAGCTTACTAAATTGTACATGTTCCTAGACACATGTATCTACTTGGAGCTTACTTATTCAATGTAGATAAGAAAAAGATTCGTTTTGGTTTATATAATTAGAGAGGCAAAGAAGAACAAATCCTATCTGCAATGGCTCGTTTGTAAATAAGATGTAGATAGGCTTCTTCAGCAATGGTTTATTTTGTATAAATTGACATGCTCAGCAAAGCTAATTTGTTGTCTTGTTCCCTACCAACATCATCGTTCATTCCCAGTCTAATGTTTTTCATTAGCATTTCTTCTTTTCATTAGTCCATGTTCAGTTTAGTAGTGGATTTTTACTAACAAAAGGCAACCTGACATAAAGTTGATAGTCCACCACACATAAACAACTTTACATGTTTCAGTTGATTGCTCCTTGATGATCGCCAAACTGACACAAGCAAAAGCAGGAAAGTGGCCTGAGATGCTATGCAAAGAGAGGAGAGCAATCGAATGAGCAGAGTAAATGCAGAATGCAGCTACAACTCTCTGGATTCTGGCATAATTTTTGGTAAGTTTTATGAAGCAAGTGAAGAATAAGAATTTGAATATCTTAATGAGCAACTTCTGACTTATATAGCAAGCATAATTTCACAGCTGAAGAAACAGGAGGATGAGGAGATAAAAGCAGCCCAAGACTTATGATTGCAGCTGATATTACAAGCTTGGAAAAGTGACCCTGGAAGTGGGAAGGGCTGACATATGCTTTTTCAGATCACGAAATGGTCCATCTTTACCACTTTAAACCATTTCCTTTGATGATGAGGTGGGTGCAAGGGGTTCTCCCTTGTTCGGAAATCAATCATCCCCTATAATTAAGGCATGGGAACTGGGAAGCCGAAGATGCTTATGCTCCATCACATGCATCTCCTTGCCTTTTTGCATGATTGCAAAGTACTTATTTTTTTCCGCAATAATTAACTGTTAAGGAAAAAACTACCGTAATCAAGTGGCACATGTTTCTTCTGTGAGTTCTCAGGTCATCCAACCCCACATATTAATGGAATTAATTAATCCAAAAGCAACTTGCCAGTCCACTTCATTGCAGTTCAAGACAAATACACCAGTTTACCAATTGAGTAAGCTAACTATTTTCTTCTGTTCCAAGCATTGAAACTTGGTTCTTTGAGGAAATTCCATATTGGAACATATCCTCCATTTTGACTAATTCTCTTTAATCTCTTTAGAATCATACAATCCTTGAAAGAAACTCAATTCTAAGTATAGACAATCTTGTGAATAGATAAACTATGAGAGCTGTGAAATTGAAACACAAAGTGGGTAAATCTTTCTGTATTTTTTGCAGTATTATTTATATGTTTGAAAATTTAGTTCCCCTAGAAACACAGATAAGTCAAAGATATTGAAAGAGAAGAGGTGTAGTGTAAAGCGGAGAAGAATAAGAAAAGGTATCACATGCTTGCTTTTACCGAAGGGTACATCCATCATTTAGTTCCACTCTTCTGGTTTTGACTCTCATCGCTTTTCTCTTATTTAATTTCGCCACTTTTACGCTAATCACAACTTAGTCAAGGGTATCCATTCCAGATATATAGTGAGTTAATAATGTCTCAACCTGTAGGAGGGCAATGCCTGTGGACTATCAATGGTTTCCAGGACAAATGGCATTTGTGAAAACTTTAAATACGTAATTGAATTTGTTATAAGGCATTCATTATTAAACAAACGATGGGAAAAATATCATCATCTCAAGGAGCAAGGTTATGATCTAATCCAGTTTTTGCCTGAACTATTAAGGGTTGGCAAACTGGTAGATGGAGTCATTAAGGATTAAGAGAGAGGAATCAGAAGCCAAAGGTCCAGTATCAACTGCCCTAAGTGTTTAAAAAAAAAATAGTTCTTTGTTGATCCCAAAACTCTACAATTACTTGATTGAGGGAAGCGCAAATATATAATATGGTTTGTTAGCCCTACTCCTTTATCTAATATGTGAATGAGAATAAAAAACAGAAAACAAAAGGGGGAACAACATTGTCATCATTAAAAAGTAGACAAGGATGGACATTGAATTATGTAAACATGCAAAACAGTGTCCAACACAGGGAAAATAATAAAGAGGAATCTCAACCACCCTCCATTTTATTCACATCCTTCCTTCTATAAGAAATCTCTCCTCTTAACTGTCACAACCCACAACATTCAAAGAAACAGGCAACACCAAAAATGCACAAGCTCTCTTGGTATGTTCTCTTGCTATCACTCCTTTATTTTCCTCCGGCTCTTTCATGGAGTCAAGACACTCGATTTAACCAAGCTGAGAACTATGAAGGTTCCTCAGACCTAGTTAACCTTGAGTACCACATGGGTCCTGTCCTTGCATCCCCTACCAATCTGTACATAATCTGGTATGGTCACTGGAATCCAACCCACCAAGCCACTATAAGGGATTTCCTCTATTCCTTGTCTTCTTCAGCTCCTTACCCTTCTGTTGCTGATTGGTGGAAAACTGTCAGGCTCTACACCGACCAAACAGGGTCAAACATCACCGGTAGCATTTCCCTTTCGGGAGAATTCTACGACTACAGATATTCCCATGGTGGTTATCTAAGTCGTTTATCAATGCAGTCCATCATCAAAACTGCAGTCACTTCCTATCCAAGGCCACTGCCCCTCAATCCTCGCAATGGCCTCTATTTAGTGCTGACTTCTTCTGATGTCCAGGTTCAGGATTTCTGCAGGGCAGTCTGCGGCTTTCACTACTTCACCTTCCCAACCATTGTTGGCGTAACAATGCCCTATGCTTGGATTGGTTATAGTGGAACTCAGTGTCCAGGCATGTGTGCCTATCCATTTGCCTGGCCTAATTACTCAGGGAAGCCGCCACCAAGCACAGATGGAGGTAACAACATAATGCGCTCGCCGAATGGGGATGCGGGAGTAGATGGAATGATCAGTATTATAGCTCATGAGCTCGCAGAAGTGTCAAGTAACCCGCTGGTTAACGCATGGTATGCCGGAGATGATCCAACTGCACCTACAGAAATTGCAGACCTGTGCCTAGGTTTGTATGGTTCTGGTGGAGGAGGTGGGTATGTGGGTAAAGTTTACAAGGATTCTTGGGGGAACGGGTACAATTTGAATGGAGTTAAGGGAAGAAGATTTTTGGTGCAATGGGTGTGGAATCCTGTGAAAAGAAGATGCTTTGGACCTAATGCCATGGACTAGATGTGCAATATGTACAGAATTATAGACTGTTTCCTACTATTTAGTTATCAGTGAGGCAGGAAAAAAGGCCATGGGAATCATAGAGGGGTTGATTGGCACGGCAATAGAAAGAGTGAGCTGCCTTGTTGATAAATATTCTACTTTCAAGAAAGAGTGACGGAGGTGATGATCCTTTGCTTGTTTAATTCACATATGCTGTAGTGTATGCCAAAAGGATGTAGAGCAAACCACCGGCCACTATGTTCAGCACCTTATTCACATTTGCAGCAGAGTTTGAATAAACGAAACTTGCAGAATTCGACGACCCAAGATTTCATCCGAATATTATATCCATTAAAACACCACATTCTAACTTGAATTACTTTTGTGTTGGCTTTCACTGTTCAGTCAGAATTTTATCATGGAATTAGTCCTAACTCCTAACTACAGCTCACCCGAAGCTAACATAGATATCAGCACAATGTTAGTGTGATAGCATACACATCATCGATGAAATTGATTACAGTCAATAAAGAAACCCATGGAAAATTCAATAAGTATTATTCATTAACCATCCTATGCCTTGAAAAGGTGATGTATTATTTGCCTCTCAATGCCAAGGCACATATCCGCTGAACCTAATGAACAAATAAATTACAAAATGATTCTGATTTTGTATAAGCAGGACAGCCCTAATCATTTAGCTAAAATAAACAAATGAAATTACAAAACTGTACATCTATAAGAATTTTGAACAATCTCAAAATAACAGGAAGCAAGAGACTTTGCAACTGCCGGTTAGAGAAAAAAAATGCTTTGATCAATTCTTTGACAAGACTCAGGCCGAGGAGAGATGTGAAATTCACAATACATCAGAGCAATGAATACAGGGATAGTCAATAAGCCTGGCTACAAGGCTCTCTGGCTCCGGAATGAGAGCAGATGTCAAGCTGTTCCAAAAATGAAATGTAACGGACTCAGCCAGAATCTTTTGGAATAAAGCATCTTGTTGCGCTTTATCAGTTTCTGTCGTCGGTGCAACAAAGTATCTGTTTTATGGTCCAACTGAGTTATGGCAATTTAAGACTTCAAATAAAAAGAAGTGCAAAAAGTATAATGTAATGTGAACTGTGCAAAGAGACATAAGGCAAGCTAGTGAAAAATCTCTCATGCAACTACAATGTAAATTTGACCTCATGAGAATGCAATAGTGTGCCATGCAATACCTTGTACCGGATGTAGAACAAGTTCTGCAAGAGAAGATCACGGACAAAATGTTTTCTGGTAAAAAGTAGGTGTTTTTCCTAGGTTCTAACAGAGTTAAGCAAGGTGAGAGAAACACCCAACACACTTGAGACTATGGAAATATCAAAGAGATGGTCAAATGACTAAATTTTTCATCTTATAATAACATCTCTTCTTGGATTTGTCTAACCCTGGAAATCCGAGGATCCATTATTTAAAAAGGATTTCTAGCCAAAATCCTAGCAAAAAAGGCCCAGATAGTGGAACAGAAATGCCCAAAAAGAATATAATAATAAACAAAAACCAGTCACTCATCCTCCCACAAATTAATCATTTACTAAGGAGGAGCAAGAAAAGAAGGCAGTAGTAGAAGAAAGTTGAAGTTGGGGAGTATGGAGATGCTTCATTAGTAAGATTTTGCCATGATAAGAGCCAAATATACATATGATTTTAAACATGTATAGGTGTGAAGACATGTATATTTGTGCATACATGAATGTCCCCTAAAGTGCGTCTGAATTGTGAATTTTGTCCCATACATGCATTGAAAAGATCATTTTCAAGAGTTGCATATGAACATAGAACAGTACCTTGTTATATGCTGAGAACTAATAGGGAAGAAAACAAAGGAAGGCCGCACATTCAACTCTGGCTGATTGTTCAAAACCCTTTTTGCAACTCTTGATAAAAGATCAGCCCCATTCCATCTCAACTGGGTATCATCATACGTCATATAGAACTCCTTCAAACACTCCATTATGAATGGACTGCACAAGAGAACGCAAAAATCAAAGAAATGATTTGTTTGCTAGCATAAGGAAAACCAACAATCTGGAAAAAACATATTGAAAATGAAAAAAGCTTGTGATTCACAACTTCAAGATCCCTACCAAAACCCAGAGTGTCTCCACCCACCTACAATCCCTTCCACCTAAAACTTTGAGAGAGACTTCTCACTTCAGAAACTAGATATAAATTATGGACTGAAACAATTGTACCACAGTCATTCTTAAACAAGGTATCCATAAATATACAATTCCAAGAAATTATGAGAACAGGCCTCAAGACAGAATCGATAAAGATACAGCCTTCTATTGTAAAAATTATTCAGAGAGAAAAAAGAAAGAAGAATTTTCTCTTCAAAGAAATAAATATGAAGGTGCAAAAAACCAAAAAAACATGCTGAGAAGAAGACAGTTGCTCAAAGTGACAACACCCTTTAGACCAAAAGGCAACTTGGACTGTTATACCTAATACAAATATTGCTAATGAAAATTTTAAGAATTTATACAACAGAAATATATTGCTTGAAAAATCTAGGTATAAACAACAGTAATTTCAACCAAAATAGAAACTAGAAAATAAAATTTGAGCACACAAAAACCAAGTGCAGTCATTACCTTTGCTTTCTGAATGCCATTAAAGCTCCATTCAAAGAACTTCCAGCAAGCTGGTCTTCCAGGCCAATAGAATTATTGAGTGCCAATAATGGTTTCAGAACTATAATATCAGAATCAAGATAAATGCCACCATATCTGCAAAACAGACAAAAAAAGACATACTTGGAATAAGAGTACAAGGACAACAAAGACTGTAATCATTTAAGCTAAAAGATAGCAGTCTAACCAACTGAAGTCTGATATAAAGCAGTCCATTAAAACCAATGCTATAGAAAGTCCAACTTAAGTAGAAAGAAAACAGAGACTTCTTCATAAATCCTACACAAAAAGCACTGACTAGGAGTAACTACACCTCTACCATTTTAAAAACAAGACAGATGAGCTCAGAACGCCATATACACCCATCGTGTCCTCAACATTTAGTAGGGAAAACTACTTCCCTTCTCTATCACCTTAAGCTTGTGATGTTAGCAGTTAAATCCTCTTCTCCCTCACGGATGTGTCCACAAAAATCAAGCACATTTAATTTTGTGGACCAACAAATTTAATGCCTTAAATTATCAAAAAATCCAAAAGAGAAAAAAAAAAAGGGAAAGGAAATGAATTTCAGTACAGAAAAGAGCATAAATCATTGAACCAAGATCCAATTTCCAACATGTATGGCAGCAAATTGACAAGAAATTGAAAACTGCATTCTAAACTTCACAAAAGGAAATGCATAGACGAGCAAGCTTACTTGTAAAGAGCAGCAAGCCGCACAAGCTCACTATAATGGGTGGCATAAAACTTTGTCTTTCTCCATTCAAACCACACAGAAGCAAATGCATGGGTGAGTGTATCTTTCAACAATTCATCAAGGTTTGGCATTGCAACAGCAACTTTGTAACTGTGTGGAACAAGAAACCATATAAAACAATAAATATAATAAACAAAAATACAGAATTAGAACAAAACTTACCCATCTTTCACAAAGCTTTCTTTGAAAAAATCAAGCTCAATCGTTTCAGAGAACAATATGACACAAGCATCTCGATGCTGAGCAAGCAAACTCTCAAGCCCTCTTTGGTGCCTAACACTATACATCCACGGAGGGGAATTCCATATCATAAAAACTCTCACATCACACTTCCCTTTCCTTAAAAATGCATCCATGAAATCTGAAAAGGACAGCCTAGAATCTAATCCAGGATAGTAACCCCATCTCTTTCCATCCGCATATATGTGACCTGAAAACTCAGAGTTCATCTTATCAGCCTCTAAACGTCCATTCTTCACCTCATTCTTCCTTCTATTACTTTCATTAGTCTTATTCCCATTTGTATTGGAACTCGAGTCTTTAATACTATTTTCTCTTTTGCTCAACACATTCCTCGCATTATCGTTTTTCTTACCCTCACCGCCCTTTTTATCCTCTGACCCCTTCTCCAAAATCCCCAAAGGCTTCTTCCCAGTAAAAGGGACCTTCTTAAACTCACTCAAAATCCACTTTTGTACAATTCTATCCCCTCTAGTCAATCCAGTAACACCAACCCCATCAGGGTCTTGCAGCAAAGGATTATTCAAAGGATTCAAAACCTCCAAATTCGACTTAAACATCCTATCCCTTCTCAGAAAATCACCTTTCTTATCAAACCAATCCCCCCATTTCTCCCTCAAAGGATTCGCCTTTTTCCCACCGACTTTCTTCACCAACAAAGCATCTTCAACACTTTCCACTTCACTCATTTTCCTCCTAACTTCCTCATCCAATGGAATATCATCGGATCCAAAGGCGGTCTTAATCTTAACATCTTCTCCCAAAAACCCTTCGTTCAAAAAACCTCCATCGTAATCCCAATCTTCAATCGAACGTTTATTGGAAGCTCTTTTAATTGACCCGCTCAAATGGTCGAAATAAAAATGCCCAGATGAAAAGATCTTGTTTTTTTGATTCATTGTCGTGATTTCTTGTTCTTCCTCCAGCTCGATTTCGTTGTTGCTGTTGTCGTCTTCGGTTAAAACGGTGTCATTATCTTCGAGGGTGTCGAATTCGTCAATTTTGTCGTCGTTCGAGGTGCTGACGTCATCGTCGGAGTCGGAGAGGAGAGGGTTATTGGGGAAAGCGACGTCGTCGTTTTTGTCAATGGAAGAGTGGTGGGGATAGATGTGCGGTTTGGAAGAGAGAGAAAGGCGAGAGTAGAGGAGAGAGACAGAAAATAAGAGGAGAAGAGCTGAGATGGCGGCGCATACCTGCGCACCGTAACGCGGCCGCCGCCGAGATCGAAGATTTCTTAGCATTTCTTCTCGGTTAAAACACTAACGGAAGTCCGACATGCTATAGAAGAGAGAGAGAGAGAGAGAGAGAGAGACAAGAGAAGAAGAAGATGGACTGCGAGTTGCGACTGTACAAGAAGTGCTTAGCTTCGTTTGATGGGAAATAGAAAGTAAAAAATACGGCGAGCGTAAATTTAAAAATTACAAATAATTAAAAAAAAAAGGGGTTTCTCAACCATTCTTGATTATTTAATTAAGAAAGAAAGATATGCTAAGTTTCCAATTAAATCTTTGATAAATGAACCCAAAATTTGTAACTGAAATTTCAACTTCTAACAGTTTCTAAAGTGCATCTTCTTCACCGAATGAGTATTTAATCTCTTGGTATTGACATTGTTATATATCGAGAATCATGAAATACTCCTACATTAGACTCTTGATTCTAGTTGGTAAGATAAAATATCAAGAGGAAGCTATTTCTCGCACGGTTAACATTTGCGTCACAAATCTTGTATTAGTAAAATATTAAATGAATATTAAACTTACAAAAACCTTTTATCACTAAATAAATATTTTTTAAAATGTGAATATGATATCAAAATCTAGAAAATCTACTTATTTCTTCACTAATATAAAACTTTTTATCAGACAAACCTGAATTAAAGTGAGTCTTACTTTTTATGTGAAAAAAAGTTCATGTTCACTTCGATTAGAAATGAGATGAATTTTAAATTTCTAAATAAATATTTTATTGCACTTAATAGACCTATATTTTGTAAATGTGAGTGTCACCACCCACTTCCCATGAATCGAACCTATGAATGCAAAGGCTTCATACCAAGGAATCACCAGTAAGCAACCAAAACAGGAAGGAAAGCTTTCTTGATGCAATTAAAGACAGTAGTAACAGACGATGCCATGGAATATCCATCATGTTCTCTTTGACAAACTAGAGCAGAACTGAATTTTACCCAAGAAAAAAAAATCTTCGACTAACCAAAAGAAAAGAACTTTCTTAAGTTGTAGTTAGCAATGCTGTTGGACGAAATTCGCATCCCTGTTAGAACATTTTGGGCAATTTCCAAGGGTAAAAAGAGCAAGGATAGTCCATGAACCTGTATATATTTGTCTGCTTTCATCATTCCCACCAATGTAAGTAAGTTCATAACCTTGACTTTGAGTTTTGGTTGCATAAGACGGTCTTTTGTTGCCTCATGGTCATGTCACAACTGCTCCAGCAAATCTTGTCGCTGTCTTCAACAATTTGACTAAAACCCATTTTCACAGCTTTCACCTTCACTGTTTGTGAGAAGTACACCTCCACATCTAACATTTCCATCATGTATTTCTTGCCGATTCTTGCATATTGAAGCAGTTGGTTGTTTCAAAAGTTGACTCACATTGTCTCTCACCAAATCCAAAAGATTGCTGCTGTTTGATTTCTTGAGATTCCCATTTCTGCAAAAATTGTACATAAAAGTACAAGGCCTCCAGGAGGTCCTTCCTAATTTAAAGTTCTGATTCCCTTTAGTTCACATTGCTTATGGATATCTCACCACCAGCAGGTTAGATGTCATTGATCTGTCCAATATTGTGCAACAACTCACTCTTTGCAACTCCATTAGCATCATTGTCTTCACAAATTTTTGGAGATGAATCATGATTGGAATGGCTCACATTATTTCGCTCTTGGAATAATCCATCCATCCCTAAATCTCGATTACTCAAATCTTGCTCAATTTCTTTCCGCAGGTCCCTACAAGACACAGAAGTCATACTTGAGATGCCATGATTTTGTGATGATTCTTTTCCATCTTCATCAGCACTTCCCAAGGCAATTAAGCTTTCCATACTGAATTGTTCTGAGTTTGAGCCGCTTCCCTTGTCAATGTTGCCTTCAACAGCAGTCTGGCACATCGCATTTGGCAATTTAACATTTTGCAATATATCATCTTCATTTTCGTGGCAAACAGAAGCCTTAATACTTTCAGCATTTGTACTGACAGAACATCCTATTGAGGATGCCATTAAATTTTCTCGAGCATCACCTGATATGCCTCTCTCAAATGACTCATTCTCACAGAAGTTTGGCCTAATCAATTTTCTCCTTTTTCCCTGTGAAGCTGATGCACTCTTGTTCTCCAGACTTTCACAATGGTTTCCAGTCTTACCATCTTCAAGGTCCTTTCTCACCGCACGACGACGTCTGAAATCCACAAAAGTTGTCTCTTCAGTTTTTTGGCTGCTATTCTCCTTGCTGAATCGGGCAGGCTTCAGGTTCATCTCCTTTGAGATCATAGCCAAGCTTTCCTTCTTGGCAGCCTGTTTTTTATCCCTAAAGCTGGCAGCATTATCATGTTGCTTGACTAACTGTTTAGATCTTGTCTTCCTCCAATGCTTGTGGCTATGGTGCAGCATGTCCATGACTTCATTCACTGAAGTATTCCTATCGATGTCAGCAGTGCCAGGAGTGGAGTTACTTTCTTGTTCATGTACTTTAGGAGGCAAAGCTAAGCGAGAAAACACACTACCCCTTTTCTTCCGGTGATCGGGATATAAGCATTCAGAATTCTGATATGCCATAGGATTCAAAGAAGAAACTTCA